AGGACAGCTCTCCATATACTTTGTATAGTCGAGCTAAAAACAATCGTCTTATAACAATACATTGTAGGTACTATAATGCTTATTTCAATATAAGAAAGTCTGAACCTCGAACTTTTATCTAAGAAAAGTATGCAAAGCTTTGTTGTCTTTTAGGTTCCTCCTTTCTTTTGCTGCTATATGTGTAAATATCATTTAAAAAATACACATTTCAATGGTATCATGCTTCTGCCAAGGTTAATGCACTGGAAAAGGTGCTTTACCCTCTGTTTGTATTTGAGTAACATCAACAAACTGCATCAAAACAGAAATTGCTCACCTTCAGCTTGCTGTTTTCTTTGACTAATCTCTCATTTTCAGCATTCAACTGTTCCAGCTCTCTCTGTAATATATGTTCTAATATACAAATTTCTTTCAGAAACTGGTGGAAAAGTAACACCTTATTTAGTTATACAATGATCATATATATTTTCTTGATGGACATAATATTATATCAACTGTATGGTAAAAAACTCATTATTGATTATTTTGAATCTATTATGGAAATGGTAACCATGATCTTGGCAGTGTTTAAGAGTGTCAGTAAACAAGCCCTGAAGTAGTATTGAAAAATTACAATGTTTAGAATGGTAAACGTTTTATTCATTTTCACGCATCATTTTATGTAATTTCTTATTCAACAAAACATAACTGCAACAATTTCAATCTGCACAACTTACAAGAATAAAATGAACTTATTTGTATTGGCAATATCTGTATCTCATCATAAATGGGTGACTTGAATCCAATCTCATTTGGAAGGGTCAATAAGTAAAAGTATAAAATCAATTTTAGCACAGACCCTTGACCTATGTGTCACACCTTCTTAAAATATAAAAGGACAGCCCAAATATCAACATACTAAATATGAAAGTATAAAATCAATTTTAGCACAGACCCTTGACCTAAGTGTCACACCTTCGTAAAAAATAAAAAGACAGCCCAAATATCAACATACTAAATATGAAAGACATTATTTAATAATCAAATGCCATATGAACTTTAACCGGTAAAGTGTCACTAGCTATTTTAAACATCAGTGACCTTGACCATTACCCAATGGACCATCCAACATAAGTTTCTACAAAATATGAATGAGGCTGCACACGTATAACTAACAGTGGAACTAGTATCATAAAACAAGAGCTGTGGGAAGAAACAGTGAAGCTCGACTAATCATATTCTTGATTGAGTTAAAGAAAACAAAACTGTTAAACAAAAATCAATTATGATATAAATATATAAAGGTATCCGTTTCAAGAACTCAAATGTTTGATATTTTTTCCCTATGTTACCATGTAAAAAAAGTTAACAGACATGTCTATGCTCAAGAGGAAATAATTCATGAAACATAAATTGCTAGAGTTATGCACCTTGTCATGCATGATGTGAATAATGACAAAGAACCATCTTAGGTCTAGAGTACATACTATTTATGACATTAAAGAAAATACTTATAAATATTAATTATATGACTACATTTTGTTTTGTATTTAAGACTAAATTCCAAGTTCAAAAAATATTAAATGGTCATAATTCTGGAGCTAGCATAATATATCTTATCAAATATGACAATGGTGCTCAGATAACAAACCAAATTTGTCTGAATTAAATCCCTGAAAAATGAAAAACGTTACAGTTGGTGAGCAAAAAACTGAAATATCTGCCCTTTTCTACATATGCAGATTAAGAAACCATGCAGTGTTCCCAAGTCATTATGACTTGTTATCAAAGTATAATCATGACAGATCCAACACAAATGCATACAAGGGTTAACAAATCGAGCTCTGTGTTGTCCTTGAAAACAGAGCCAAAATTTTTGCCATACACAAAATTAATGTAACTGTGTTTTCTAACAAATGCCTCGGTGTAAGGTTTTATAAACCAACATGTGATGGAACATAGTGAAACAACTTATACTGCCACCGAAAAGTATGTCTTCATTGAAATAGGTCATGAAATAAATTTTAACAACCCTTTTTAATGATTTGTCTTAGACCTGATATTTTATGTGATATTATGTTTAAAAGATCAGTATAATTAATTGAAAGCACAATTCAAATTATTTAGTTAATGTATACAATGATATATGGAACAAAAGCCTAGACTTGGTACTGATCATTCCAGTAAAGTTTGGATAAAATTGCATCAGTAGTTTATGAGGAGTAGTCCAGACAAGTTTTTGTGTATCTGGCAACACACAGAAAAAAACACCTTTTAATCAAAGGGCCATAACTCGGCCAAAAATCATTCAACCGGATAACCTGTGCAATATGCCGAGGACTTGAGCTACCGATCAATCCTGTAAAGTTTCATTGAAATTGCATTAGTGGTATAAGAGAAGTAGTCGGAACAAACTTTAAAAATAAAATTTTTTAAAGGGCCATAACTCTGAAAAAATTATTTAAACGGAAAATGCTGACAATACGCACAACTAGACTTGGTATTGATCTTTCCTGTAAAGTTTGGATGAAATTGCACTAGTAGTTTATGAGGAGTAGTCCGGACAAGTTTTGTGACGCATGAACAGACGGACGGACAGAGAAGTAATCCCTATATGTCCCCACTACTCCGTAGAGGCGACACAAAAATCAGAACTTATGCCCCTCAGCTTTTGTAGATTTTTGACAATTCATTTTATGACAGAGCTGTTATAGGATTAAACATACTGTATAATACCTTCAAACAAATCATCTGACTGTTGTAATCTTCTTCCATCTCAGCTTCAGCATAACTTTCAACCTCACTACTGACATGATCCTCCTTGAAAAAGAAATATTAATTTCAAACTATCAAATAAGTAAGATGTCTATGCAGTTTATTTTGTCTGAAGCTGTCAATAAATAAAACTCTGCTAAAATGACCTCTATAGTCATACTGGTGACATAATATTGTGTAACGATAAAATATCACTCAATCAATATGGATGTATTCTATTGAAATATATTATCTTACAAAATTAATGCAAATAGAACACTCAAAGCATAATTATTACTATTGTCTTAAAACACACATGACTGTTGGAAAGTTTCACAGTCAGGGAGTGGATCTGCTCCAATAAGCCTGGCTTTAAATAATAGGTGTGAAATTCTTTCATAATTGTAAAACCAGGACATAAAATTTACTTTAAAAATATAGGAGGTATTTGGATAATACATTTCGAATAATATGTTTGTATTTATATTGATTTATATAGAGATAAAAATGGGACTGCTGATCTACTTGGGATAATGCTGGGTATTGGAATAAAAAATGAGATAAAATCTGACTGGTACAGGTAGGTTTGTGATAATATACAAAGGTGACCTCAAATGCAGCTTTGATTGTTTTAAGTTCAGGCTAGACAGTTTAAGAAGAGCTGTCATAGGGACAGCATGCTCAACTTTTTTCTCAATTGCAATATACTTACCTAAATGCATAATAGTAAATTATATGTAATGTGAAGTTTGTGAACACAGTAGACTTTCAATAAATGGAGCTCATTATATAGTCTAATATTAAAAGTTATGGCCACATTACTAATGCAAATTATATTACTTATGCAAAACATATTAAAGTATGAAGTTAATAGTGAAATACATGGCAAACATACAAAAAAGATCTTATCTTTCAAGTCAGAAAAGGGGATAATTCACATGTGTAACTTTTCAGTGCTTTTAGAAATACTGCCTATCATACAAACCCTTAATTGTCCAAGTCCAAAAAGGGACATTAATGGTAGAAATTTCAAACAAACTTTATCAGTGACAGACTTTTCATGCTAGTACTCATGATTTTTTCAAATTCAAAAGGGTAGACTAAAATATCAAAATTCAGTTAAGAATTATGGGCCCTGTTTAAGACCTCGAAATCATAAACTCAAAACGCGTTTTGTGAAGTTGCAAGTTAACGCCTTTAGAGATTCTTAATTATATTTAACCTGCAGTGATCCATGCAAGGGTCAGGCCAAAGAAATTTCCTCAAGTAGTCAAATTTAAAAGACTGACAAACAAGATCTTTGTAACACATCAGCTTTTCCATGTTTCTGTGCCTGGATACTAAACTACATAACCATCCATTTTGTATTGACAGAAGGTCCACTATGATTATGTAACCACAAATTCATGTATATATAATAAATAACCTTACCGTGACTAACACACAGTTTTCATTGTTTTCTGGTTCCTTCTGTTTAGCTGTATTTTTGGTTGTTCTTATTGTTCCCTCTTTTGATGGTTTTTTCAGCTTTGACTGATCTGCTAACATTTTCTTTCTAAAATATGTAATTTTAAATGTGGTGAAAAAATTAAAATTTCGTTTAAAAAGTATTTTATTAAAAAATTACACTGTATGTTTCTTGTTAATTGTAGAAATGGATATGAAGACAAAAATTTAAATACTTAATATTAATTTGTCTCCTTAAAGCATTTAAATACTTAATATTAATTTGTCTCCTTAAAGCATTTAAATACTTAATATCAAGTCATTGTAAATGTTTGAAAAATGGCTTGATAATGATATGTAATGTAAAGTCAAAAGGGTTAATTATATATTTGTAATTAAAATTATTATGTGAAATATGGTTTATCAGAACAGAACAGAACAGAGTTTATTTCATAACTTGTACACACATAGGTACATCGTTATTAAAAACATTTTTAAATATAATTATAGGTCACATATTTTACAATTACACATAAAGAAAAAACAAATCAATACAATACTGAGCAATGGGATATTTAATACATACAATGTGATACATTACATACACTGACTTTAACAAGAGCTATCAATGATCGCATGTTGACTGATGATAGCCAATTAAGCAGTTGTATTGAGGGGATATTGGACAATTTGTTCCCTATTAAAGTAGCAGAAGCTACTCTGTAGCAGGAGACAGAAAAACCATAACAAGACCTAAACACTTTTTATTAAAGGGCCACAACTGATCAAAATTCATTCAAATAGAAAATCTTTTAAAAATGCACAAGAACTGATCAATTTTTTTCTCTATTATTGTAAACTTAGAGAAGTTCATACAAAACAAAGTAATAAAAAAGCAATAACTCTGACAAAAACCATTTAACTGGAAAGCACAATTAGTCTTGAAACTGATCATTGCTGTAGTATGGTAAAAATTCCACTAGTAATTTTGTAGAGTATTCTGGATAAATTTTAAGACTGACAGATGGAACATTTGAAAGTTTTACTTAACCATTTTCAAAAAATCAATTTTGATCATATCTTTGCAGTTGATGGACCTGGTTAACTAACCTGTCATTACAAATACGATGCCTCCCTCACTCAGAGCTAGTGTAACAATAAATAATTGTGAATAAAGACATGTATTTTGTTTAAACTATACCTTTATGTGTTCCTCACTGAGCTAGTGTAACAATAAAAATTGTGAATGAAGACATGTATTTTGTTTATACTAGACATTTATGTGTACTTACACCTCCATCTTGAAGGCTTTTTCACCCTTTGTCAATGTTAAAAAGGCCTCTTCAGCGAATTCCAACTTTAATTTCATACTGTCTACAAAGAACCGCTGTGTAACATTCATTTTGGTTGTTGTTGACACAATAAAGCTCCAAGTTGGCTCGGGAAGTCTTGCCATCTGCAGGTGAATAGCAAAGGCTTGCTGCAGTTTTCTTGGATCCTGAAATATGTGCAACAATTAACATAAACAAGCCAGAAGAATCTGAAAGAGTCTTTTATTTTCAAACAGAAATGAATTAATTCATAACTTTTTCCCCCATCTTTGGCTTTCATTGATAATCTTCACTAGAGGTTGTAAATAGTTCAACAAATAAAATCGCTGTTACACATGGGGCCAATTTCTTGAAAATTGATTAAATTATTTATTATCCTGCTTTTACATATATCAATTAAATTATTGATAGAGATTTGACCCAGGTATTGATTAAATTTATTGGTTATCCAACCAAAGTTAAGCTGTGAGAAAAAAACATAAAAACTACACACAACAATATTATGCTAAAGTTATGCACTTATAAATAATGATTCTAGTGGTCTCAAACTTCCAAGAATAACATTCTTAAAACTAGGAGACAAATGTTTAAAAAAAACACTTTTTAATTAAAATACTGAATCTGGGGTTCCAGAGTTATGAACTTTTACAAACCTTCTTCTTGAATATAAGTGCCAAAGCATTCTTCCAGACAAGGATGGCCTCTTTATCAGGGTTTGGTGGAAGCAAATCTCGCATTAATCTGACTTTGTCAATAAAACTAACAATTTTGTTCCTTTCATGTGTTACAGTGTTGTGTGCATAGCCCAACGACAGAACCATCTCCCGTGACAGTTGACTATAAAGTCTAACTTGCACGGTGCTATAAGGGAGGGTACCTTCCTCCAAAAGAGTCTGAAGTTTAAAATATTCAGTTGATCAGCATGTTTCAATATGAATTTGTTTTCACAGTTTAAGTAATAGTTAAGTTCTGGCCTATTTGAATGCTTATCAAATGGGTGGAATTTATAGGAATGGCCTAAGTAAATGATTGTTTCATTCATTTTAGAAGACAGTATTAAAACAAAATACAGTCAAACTTGCCCTAGTATCTACAGTCTAACTTGCCCATGCAACCACGTGTATTAAGCGACTTTTGTCTTAAACGACCACTTAATATACCACCCCCCCCGCTAAGACCGCTAATAAGTCACCTAATTGAGAGCAATCTTTTCATTAAAAGACCACTTTTACTTGTCAAGTAATTGTGTTATTAGAGAACGCCGCCTCGTAATGTCATTAGTGTCAACAATTAAAAGACAACAAATAAATGTATGGAAAACTCTATTTCCCAAACCGTTTAAGCGTAAGCAAATGAAGTTAAGTATACACGTGACGTGTATTATCCAATTATATCGATGAAACAATGCAACGCTCCGCCCCTACTGATGTGGTGTATACACTTCGCTTGTTGACATTTAGACTGCATTGAATTGACCTTGAACTTGATCAGCAATTAAATTAGATGTTAGTTTGTTTATTTCGAATGAAAAATGCACAACAGAGAAACGTCTTCACTAGTAGGGTTTTCGTGTTGGAGACAAGGAAAAGCAACAGAAAAGATAAACAATTAGGGAAAAAATATCAAACATGTACAAAATGGATCACAAATGTTTCGTCAATAAATAACAAAAAGTTATTTTTTACATTGGCATCCATTTAGATTATCAAGTGTACTAATTATTCAACACTTGTATGAAAATGAAGTTGTTAAACATTCCCACCCAATAAGAAAGAGTTTAACATTCCCACCGAATAAGAAAGAGTTTAACATTCCCACCGAATAAGAAAGAGTAACATTCCCACCGAATAAGAAAGAGTTTAACATTCCCACCGAATAAGAAAGATGTCATTTGTAAATTTTGACTTTTATGTCATGCTTTGTCTTCAGAGACCGTTTCATTAAGAGACCGTTTTGGGTGTTTCCTTTGCGTGGTCGCTTAATACAAGTTTGACTGTATATAATTATATTCTGTGACAATCACTTAAATTTACTCCATAATTTTCTCTGCATCTTTAATGTGTTATGCAACTTTTACTTCATGCAACCAGCAAAAGCTTATTTAAAATCAGCAACTATTAATCTATCCTTTCCATACATTATTCTTTGATCTTATCAGCAGTTTGCAAAAATAAATCATTGTTTATTGATATAGCTGTTCATCGATAATTATCTAAATGCAACTCAGATGTCTCAACACTGGTGACTGGTAAAAGAGTTATTATTATGCCTAAAGGCTAACATTTCTCTTCACAACTAACAATTATCATAAAGAGCCATCATTTTGGTTTACACAGAATTTATTTTAAATCAATTGTATAGGAAGCTATAAGCTTATAGACGCACTTTAAAATCTGTTCCTGGGACCAACGAGTACTGAAGTGAGTGTACAGTTTCCTGCTCAAGGAAACGACGACAGCCCCTGACAGTGTTAAAAACTTTAAACTCATGCGGCTAGCATCATTAAAAATCAACATCTAGGACATTGTAAGCACTCAATAAAGTCAGTGGTAATTTATTTAAGGGTTAAATTTGCCATTTTATGTGGCTTAAACATTTTATTTATACCAGACCACATAACAATAATAAAGAAATTTACCTGCATGGCCTGACGTGTGTGATTGCCACCTAGGCATTCTACAGAACCCTGACATGGGTTAGCTTATGACTCAGGATCAATGTCCTTATCAATTAAGCCCAACATAACTATCAACTGCCCCATGCTGGTATTCCTGAAACTTTCTACCAAGTCTGACACATGGCTATTGTCTAAAACTCTGGTTCTGTGTTTGGGATGCGGTGGTATCAAGTTAGTAATATGAACAGCATAAGTTCCTTAAAAAAAATAAAAAAATTATTATCATTTCTGATCATTATCATTTCAAATGGACGCATGAAAACCTTACTGTTTGTCAATCAATAAATGATGCCGCAAAAATTTCGAATTTACAGAATAATAAACCCTGCATACAGGTACAGTAGGTGTGACAAATTACCCGCATTAAAGCGGTTAAAGCTAATTACTGACGGGTACAATCCAGGTTTGCATTTCTTATTGAAAAGTACAACTGAAATTTGTCCACTAATCAATATGATGTGTATGCAT